TGTTGTTTACAGCTTTTAATGAATTCTTTTATCTGCTCTCATTCCCACAGTGACGATGAGGAGGAAAAAAAATTACATGAATAAGAAGAATTCATCTCACTTTTTTGATTTGGGTTGAAACATTAATAGAATATTTTTATTCTAATGTTAATATTAAAGAAAAATTAACTCGACCTTATTGACCTCAGTTAAGATAAAATACATGATTCATGGTTCTGTTCTTGATTCTCCAGCTCCGATTGGCAGATGTAATTCACAAACTCACCATCGTCCTGTAGATGGCAGCAAAAATCATTAATGTTAATCAAGTCCCAATAAAAAACTGCTTTCTCGTCCTACGGTTACTACAGTTTTACCATCTAACCGGAGACGGCGTATAATCCACTATACTTGGAATCGAACCCACAACCTTTTGAGTGTGAGGCACTATCGTTTTTTACAAGGCTCTACCTCTGCCCCGGCCCAGGACAACGCTAGTACGACGCCACTATAGCGTTTGAAGCTAATGTGATTAGCCTCCTGTTGTTACTACAGGAAGTACGATACGGGATGGTTAGCATGTTAGCATACCATCATCAGCCTGCGGGCGCTTATCAAACTGCGCCCCCTGTGGGTGTGTGTGTGTGATACACACTCTCCACACCCAGTCATTAACATGCAGTGTTAAACGTACGCAGTATTTTAACTGTACTTGAAGATTTTTTTTCCTCCTCCCCAGCGTGTGGCGTCAGACTCCCCGCTGCGTTCTGTATGCGTCGTACGCAGCCGCTGGGTGTGATGTGCGATCTCGTCTGTATTCTCCGCGCCGCGTCGTAGCATTGTTGCTACTTCAATTATTCTCTCATATTAAAGGATCAAAGGTCTGCGCTGCAGCCGAGCCCAGGAATCTCAATAGAACCGCGCATGCGCACACACACGCAGTGGATGCGTGCGTGTGTGCGTGCTCCTGTACGTGGACACACACACACACAGGTGTGGCCGTGTGTGTGTGTGAATTTTAAATGTTGTTTCCTGTCATTTTAAAGGAGGATAAATGATGGAGTCTTTAAGTCCTGGCAGCAGGTCGTTTCTGATTCAGCTGTTCACTCACCGGGGCGTCACTGATCGGCCTGCGGGGGGGGCCACCGA